GAAACTATGAGTTTGCTGAAAGTGCCCCTTTTTCTATCTTAGGTCAACAAACTCATGTTCTGAAACCAATTTCCTTTCCCTCTCCCTAAGACTTCACTCCTTCAAGTATCCCTTCTTTACCTTGTATTAACAATTGCTCTCTTCATTTGATCACTCTCATCAGCATATAAACCTGCCCTGATATTTCCCATCTTAAAAAATAAAACACACGAAAAAGGTTCCACATCCCCACAAAACAAATAAAAAAACAAAACAAAAAAACCCAAAAGACCTCCCTTAAACCTACAGTCTTTTCCAGTTACGAACCCACATGTCTATCTCACTGCACAAAAACACCTCAGGAGGGCTGTCTATAATCAATGGCACTTCCTCACTTCCTATTCACTCCTCAACACACCTGCTGCTCTACTGAAACTGCTCATTAATGATTTCCATGTTCCCAAGTCCACTGGATACTTCATCTGACAGAGTTCACATATTTAGTTGATTACTCTTTCCTTCCAGAAATTTACTTCTCTTAGTTTCCAAATTATTACTTTCTCCTGGTTTTCTCTCTACCCAACTGGCCATTCCTCACAGTCTTTGCTGGTTCATCCTCCTCTATCCAACATCTAACCATGATTTCCCAGGGCTAAATCCCACGGCATGTTTCTGTCTGCATCTGTCTCTCTCTGCTCTGGCTAGCTCTGCACTCTCTTCCTGGTTGATCGCACCTGGTTCCATGGATTTAAACATCATCTTTATATTGATGACTACCAAATTTGTACCTCTAGTAACTGACCTCCCACCCTGAGTTCCAGACCCATTTTCTGTTGCTTACTTGATGACTCTGCTTTAGATTTCTAAAAGGCAACTCAAGCTTAACATTTCCAAAGCAGAACTTTTGGTTCTCCCAACCCCCGTCTCTTGGACCCTTCCCCATCTAAATAAACAGCATTTTCATACATCCAGTTGCTCATACGCAAAACCTAGGAGTCATTCCTGATTACTCCTTTTCCTCCATCTCCCACATTCAATCCATTAGTTCAACTCCCATAATTCTGCAACATATAACATTATATTAGTTTCAGGTATACAACATAATGATTCAATGTATGTATATATTGTGAAATAATCACCACGATAAGTCAACATCCATCACCACACAGTTACAAACTTTTTTTTTCTCGTGGTGAAAACTGTTAAGATATACACTCTCAGCAACTTTTGAATATACAATACGATATTAACTGTAGTCAACATGCTGTACATTATATCTCCAGGACTTACTTATTTTATAACTGTAAGTTGGTAGCTTTTGACAACCTTCATCCATTTCTACCACCCTCTAACCCACCTGTGATAACCACCAATATGTTCTTTTTATCTATGAGTTTGGGTTTTTTTTTTTTTTTTAACTTAGATTCCACATGAGTGAGATCATATGGTATTTAATTCACTTAGCATAATGCCCTCAAGGTCCATCCACATGTTGTTGCAAATGCCAGGATTTCCTTCTTTTCATGGCTGAATAATATTCTACTGTGTGTGTGTGTATGTGTGTGTGTGTGTGTGTGTGTGTGTGTGTACATACACACACCACATTTTCTTTATCTATTCATCCACTGATGGACACTTAGGTTATTTCCATGTCTTGACTATTTTAAATAGTGCTGCAATAACCATGGGGGGTACAGGTATATTTTCAAGTTAGTGTTTTCATTTCCTTTGGACAAATACCCCAAAGTGGAAATGCTGGATCAAATGCTGCCCTTTTCACTTTGCAGGGTGATGATGAGGGTCACATGGATATATATGTATGTATATCATAAACTATAAAGCTTTCCACAAACATAAGGTAAAAGTATTATAATTTTTGATTTACTACTTTCTATGCTCTAGGAACTAAAAGCAAACTACTCTGCTATACACAAATACTAATATAATGTCCTTATAAACCTTCTGACAATTATGGCAGGAGTTGGTTTCTTAAATCAACATTAATTACACTGTACCTGAAATTTACCAGGCCCATTCCTATAGTGTTGCAGGCTGCCCAACAGGGAAGACTATTTCCAGCCAAAGGGGCTGGCACTTGAAAAATATTAGTAAATGGTGCTAAGAACAAGGCATTTTGCTTTATTCACTTTCAGTACCCAACCCAGCATACACACCCCTTTAGACAATAGTGACAAGAAGAGGGCAAGCAGACCTTACCAACCCTCTCAGCTCTTCAAACAACATTTGAGGAATTCTACTTGAAGGCCTGTCTTTCTAAGCTTGTGCTTTCAAAACCTGAGCTGGACTGATCCCAAATACTGAAGTAACAAATATTACTAAATTCTGTCATTTCCTCTACCAAAAAAGTGATTTTACTACTATTTCTGGCTGTGATGAAAGGTTCTATTGACTATTCAAATCCTCAACCAAGTTATGGATGCAGTATTAAATGACTTCACTCCTTTTTCTCTGGCACTTTAACACATGCCAATGCTTTCATCCACCTCCACTAACGTCGCTTATAAATTACTGAGGTGGGACCATTTTAATAGTATGATTTGTTCACATCTCTAGAGTCTAAATGGGACTGACTGAGAAGACAAACTCCCCTTTGACAACATGTATTGGTATATATGTATATAAAAATAAACCTTCACAAGTTGGAAATATCTTATTAATATAATACCTGGTTAGGAGCCATAATAATTAATGGTTCTTTGATTTGTTATAAGTTGAAATGTAAGAAAGTGATGGTAGTAAGGCTAAAGACAAAATGGAGTTAAAGTGAAAAAAGTTGAAGGTCACAAATTTGCTAAAAGTTTCTTTCTAAATGCTCAGAAGAGGCTTTCTGAATGAACCCTGAAACCTAAGAAAGTCTGTTTATAAGAAGTTTATTGTCATCTCCTTTTAAAACTGCCATCACAGTGATGAAAAAACACTATAGAGAGCAAGATACTTGCTCCCTATGGAGTTTGAGTGGTTAACCCATTGAACACACACACAAATGTAATCTCTCAATTTCAAAGAGTATAAAGTTGCAGAGGATACAAAATTACTAGAAGTAATCCATTGTTTAAACAGATGAATAAAACTAGCTCCGCATACTAGTGGCCTTGGTTCAGTTAAGAATAAAATCAGAAGCTACCTGGGAAGTGCTCTAAAATGAGGACCAAACAGGGCTAGAGCTGAGTCTGATGTGAAGGGCTGACTGTCCCAAATTTTCCACTGCACATAGTCAGCCTCCCTGTTGGTCTTGTTCTCAAAGCAAGCTGGCTATTCTTAGCACCCCTTTATACCATACTTTGCCATTCCTATTGGGCCCTGAGAAGAAAGAATTAAGTGTGTGTGCATGTGCATGTGTGTGTTTGAAGCTGGGATTTATGAGGAAATCCAGGGATTTCAGCCCTAGCCTTAATTAGGAGTAGGTTTCACCTGGAAAATTCCAACAGACTTCTGATCTTAGGCCTTATGTGTTTAAAGCAAGAAATAGAAAATAGGGCAAAGAGAGAAGAATCTGTGAAGTCGGATCAGAACTTAGTTCTACTAAATGAGGCCAACCTTCCTGACATCCTGACTCCCAGACTCTGGACTCCAGTTTCCAGGTGCTCTTTTCCACCTTGGCTGACTTCAGTGGAGGTACTCTCTAATTTACTTAGACCTCTTCTCCCTTAATGTATCCTTAGTCTGGCCCCTTCTTGACCATTTCTGTCTAAGTACTACCTTCTCTATGGTATGACATCTGTGATCAGTAATGTGAGCTAGGTAGCCTTGAAATTAAGGTCCTGTTTCCTAGACTGAGATACTCTTCTGCCAAAAATGGAGGGATGCAAAGCATCAGTTGTGGGAAGAATGGCACATGGAAAGATGAGTCATGGGCCAGAGGCTGTGAGCAAGGCTGCTTGCCTGCAATGAACATGAGCCGGATGGCAGTAACAATAAAAGCAGTAAGAGGGTGAGGTTATAAGCAAATGATTAATCGAGGACTGCAAACTAGAAATTTGATCCAGTATCAGAAAAGTATAAGAGTCTTAATAAAAACGAATTTTTTAAAAAAACATTAAACTGAGATTAGATGAGGGGAAGAAAGGCAAAGATGACACCATATGGAGGAATTATTCTAGATCCATCAGAAATGAATATGGGAATTGTTCAGTGAGACTTCAGAATCATACGGATAAAAGGCAACGCAGGCTCATAAAAACAAAAGCATCACAAACCTTATTGCTTCTATGAAAAGGAAAGGTCTGAGGATACAGCTGATAATGTCACTAAAGAACAGCCAAACAGTGGGATCTCATCCATGTGATATTCCAATTGGAAGGATGTCCAAATAAAAACAAGGCGCTGAAGCTGATCTTCCTTTACAACTAGAAAATTTATGGCATGTCTACCTCTTGAAGTAGAGCCAAGTGAGCTAAGGAAATGCTATATATTTCTTTCAGGAAAATGCAAACCCAAGCATCTGATAGCCTTTCTATGGTATGTGGAAAGGCATTAAGTGAGATACGAACTGGTGTGATGTTGGGAGAGCCACAAAAATCCAAGCTGGGCTGGAAGGACCATGTGCTTGGTCTTTTCTTTAGGTCCCTGGATAATAGATGAGGAAACTATTAGGGACTTGCCAAAGTCAGTAAACCTTTACTCCGTAAACAACTCCCAATCAAAATGAGCCCCCAGAAGTGGTCTAAGAGAAGAAAGCTGTGTGAGAAGAAAGCTATTATCAGTCAAGCTGTAGAGACAAGAGGTTATAAAGCCCACACATTCAAGTACAGTCTACTAGCAGGTAACAATTCAGTAAATGGCTTCTGAGTTTAGCCGGAGGATTGCAATTTGTACACATTGCTTCTTTGTGGTATTTATAATGGCACAGAAAAGGACTGTGGCCAAAAAAGAACTTTGCATTATCACTGTAACTAGTTAAAGAGGAGTCAACTGTAGTACTTATTCATAAAGAGGGTTAGAGATCCAAGGAAGCAGGCTGCATGTGGCAAGTAGGAGGGGAGTAAAGAGGAGTTACTTACCTGTGCTATATTTTTGTTCAGAAGATAGACACCGTAATCAAACTGCAACTTCTCCCCTCCTTTTGGGTATAATGGAAACCTAAAAAAGGTAAAGTAGGGTCAGAAGTTTTCAAAAACTTGAGTAAAACAACCTCCAAGTTGTTGACAAAGGCAGAAGTTGCCTGCAGACAGCATAAACATCTGAAGACTTGGACTAAGTCACTTATACAGTCATTGTAACCTATTATCTTAATATCTTCATAACATTAGTCAAATCAGAATGATGGCTGCTTTGTTTCGAAGAAAAAATTGAATAGGTCATACAATAAGGGACAAATATATAAGAAAGTGACCCACTGTCCTCAAGGAGTTGAGGCCACTATGTCTCATATTTATATATCATAAACCTACCACCCTGAGATTAAGATCCTAGAATTTTTTTTCCTCTAATACTTTGGACCTGACATCTCAACTTCTACTAAAAGGGAAAGATTAAGAAAAATATCAGACATGAAAGCGATATCTAAGGTTTCTGTTGCTTCTGAGGTGGCTAGTCAAATCCACAGCAGCAATGAGCAAAAATTCATCAAAAATTCATTCACATTTGCAGGGGTGGCTATTTGGATGTTACTTCTCCCAGGCAACGTACTCATGCCATAGAGTTCTCATAAGACTTTCCATTTTAACCTGATTCACTGAAGCAACAAAGGCATGAGATCTGTAGATCTTTATAAAAGTGATGAGCTATTCTAGGGAGTAAGTTTCCTTCACTATTTCCCTTTTCCTACTCCCGCAAATGAAGAAGAAAAGGTTAGAGTATATCTGTGTTCTAGTCATATCTTCCCCTGATTCTCAAGACCAAGCATGCATTTTGGCCTCTGCAACAGATTTCTCTACAAACAGATCAATCACAACTTAGACAGGGTCAAGAAGAAACTTTACTTTCCTTAGTTTTGCAATATCTGACTATTCTTAAGAATAACATAACCTTTTACAGAAATAAATGGTAGGTGACAATTACTGGATATTCTTAATTTCAATTGTGTTTTAATTGTCTGAGGAAAAGATACATTCCATAATGCTTGGAGGATACTGTTTTCTAGGGAAAATGAAAGAAAGGAAACAGAATTTAAAGCTTTATATTAAATTTTCGAGTTGCTGATTACATATTGTCCAAAAGGTAAATTTGTCGTACTGTAAAATTACAGGCACTGGGGAGCGAGCAAGGTCATGATCTGTCTGTATTCTCTAGAGTGGAACACTAAATGCTTCATACACCCATCAAGAAGATATAGCTTTGTATTTAATTGAAGCTATAAAAAATAAACTAGGGCATACGGTTTGGCCCTAAATTGAGATGCATTAAAAATGACAGCAAAGCAAATTCGGGATAAGCAAAGTGTAACACACCAGGCTTTTACAGGGTATCTGGGAATCCTTCAAACTTGTATGGGGTAGCCTGCAAAGAAACTACCTAACTGAAAGGATATATCAACAAAGGGGCAATTATGAAGAAATTTACTAGAGTCCTAAAGCTCTATGCTGTATAGTTGTTATACTATAAACCATTACACGTAGACTATCTGCATAGCTCTCCAAACTCACAAATATCTCCATTTCCAAGTTATAAATGCAGAAACTGTTTCAAATGTTGGAAAAGTAAACTGAAATAAGCATACATTGAAAACCAAGCCCCTGAATCCTGATGAATGGATCTTATGACATTGACTTTATTACTTCACTGGGACTTCTTTATAGAAAGAAAGAGCCCTAAGGTGTGTATGTACCATTGAAACAAATCTAAAGAGTGATTAGAGCCAAAGGTTCAAATAGGGAAACTTTAAGACAGATCAAATATTAGGACAGAGTTCACATCTTATATTGCTTTCAAATTCTTAAGGGGTCATGTCAAGTTGAACAGTGTAATAGCTTCCAACCATTACACAGTCATCTTACTCTGCGAAAGTGCATGGATTTATAGATCTACTAAGCAATCTAGAAAAATGAAATCCATCTAAAAGGGTAAAACCTATTACCATCAGGACATAAGATACAACTCAAAGGCATCTTAATTCAACATACATAGAGAATCTCATTAGCAGACTGCAGAAGGTTTAGATAAGAATGTGGTCATTTAAGCACAACCAGAAAAATGTCCTTAGCACCATAAATAGAATTAATTTAAGGGAGTATTAGATTAAATAACTAGAGGAATAAGTATACATTTCCTATTATTATACTCTTACAGAAAATGCAATTAAAATGAGCAATATTAAATTCTTTTCCAAATTAAATTATATGTCCAAGTTGCTTGAAAAATTCACTGACCCTACCTGGTAAAAGTCAATGAATTAGAAAGCAATAAATAGATTATCTGTGAAGATGGTTTGGAGCTCTTTAGTACCTAGTAATTTCCGTGTGATTAAAGAATTATGACATGAGTACCAAAAAGCCAACGAAATCCCAGGCTGTATTAACAGAAAGAGCAGATAACCAGGGAACGTGCTAGTGCCAACTATCAATACTTAGTACTGGGTCAGATGATAGTGACAGATCTACGTTTAGTTCTGGGAGTTAATATTTCTTTTTAGAAGCATACAGATAAATAACTGGAACCTTTCTTATAGGTTATGTTTCTTATAGGTTTTGTAATAATCTCATTTGACTATAAAAAGCATGCAGTGAAGCAGAGTGGTCCATTGCTTTTGTTATTTAAAAGAAACTAACTTGCCTTGGTCACCTACTTAGTGGAAAAGATATGACACCTCAGCATTAGGTCTTCAGTTATACACTCAGTATTCTTTCTATTGTCACTGGGTCCTTTAGAGAAGAACACCCAGGATGAACAGAAGAATGGGAGCCATAGTTTTGAGAGAAATGGTTGACGGAACCACAGGTGTTTAGCCTGGAGGGCAGAAGTCTCATGGACAACAAACGAAGGACTTTCCGAGAGAAAAAAAGCTGGTTTTGTTCTCATGGCTTCAAGCAGGAAAACCCAAAGTTGATGGCAAGAAGTTACAGGAAAGTTGATGTCACCACAGAATTAGTCAAAATCCAAAAGATCTTGAGTAGAGGAAGCTAGGCAGAGGCTGGTCAACCAATAATAACCATGCGGTGAACTGCGGCAGCTGTGGTGGAAGTGGCCGGGGAGCCCAGTCCCTGCTGGCACCATGCTTCACTTGTGGCTGCTGGAAACGGCTCAGAATCACCCACCGTTGGTGGACCTCAAAAACGGGGAGGCGTACAACGGGCATCTGGTGAGCTGCGACAACTGGATGAACATCAACTTGCGTGAGGTGATCTGCAAGTCCAGGGACAGGGACAATTTCTGGCTGATGCCCGAGTGCTACATCCGCAGCAGCACCATCAAGTACCTGCGCATCCCCGATGAGATCATCAACATGGTCAAGGAGGAGGTGGCGGCCAAGGGCCGTGGCCGTGGTGGCCAGCAGCAGAAGCGACAGAAGGGCCATGGCACGGGGGGTGCTGGGCGAGGAGGGATCCCAGGGACCAGCAGAGATCAGCCAGAAAGGAGGCCGGGCAGAGAGGCGGGCAAACAGTGAGCCGCCCCTCTGTTCCCCAGAGACTGAGCCACAACCACCGAGCATCTGCTCCCACCCCTGAGGCCGCTTTTCTACGCTCCAGTTTATGAGTCTGTTCAGAACAAAACGAAGAGGCAGGTGTCTGGGTAGGACCCCCTGCCTGTCTTCTGTGATCCTCCTCTTTTTTTGTTAGCCAGGAGTTCTACAGTTGGAAATGTTATTCTGTGCTTCTGGTTTTGTGAAGTTGCAGCAGACTTGATTCCTGGAAGATTCTGTATGTAATGCATCTTTAAAGGCCTCACTCTTGTTTTAAGGTTGGGCATTTTCCAAACAGGTCTGTTTTGCATTTTGTGTTAGATCCCTGAGTGGTGAACAGAAGGGAGGTTTTTATTTTAAGCTGTTTGCACTAAGACTGACAGCCTGGAGAATTTCCTGAAACACGGACCCCAAAATTGCCTTTTCAAAATGAATCCAGATGAACCTTTGCCTCAGAAGCTGTTCTGGGGGACAACACTGGGCCCTGTCCCATCACTTCCTCTCTCCCTCTTTGTGTGACAAAAAAACCCCAACAAAATAAAATGAAAAACTACATCTATGAAAACAAAAACAAAAAACAAAAAAACCCCATGCATTCAGGGGTCTAGTGGGCTGAATGGTGGTCCCCCCGAAACATATGTCCATATCTGGAAACCCAGAACGTGTGAATACAACATTATTTGGGAAAAGGGTAAGAATCTAGAGATTAGAATATCCTTGAATATCCGGTTGGGCCCTAACTCCAGTTAAGTGTCCTTATAAGGACGCAGAGGAAAGACACAGAGAAGAGGAGAAGGTCACCTGAAGATGGAAGCAGAGATTCGAGTTACACAGCCACAAGCCAAGGAATGCCTGGAGCCAGCAGAAGCTGGAAATGGCAAGGAAAGAATCTCCCCTAGAGCTTTCGGTGCCCTGCTGACACCTTGATTTTGGACTTCTGGGCTCCAGACCATGACAGAATAAACTTCTGCTACTTTAAGTCACCAAGCCTGTGGTAATTTGTTACAGCAGCCCTAGAGCCTAACACGGGGGGAATCAAACACTGGATGGCCCATTGGACTCGATGAGGTATAATATCTCATCTGTCTCCAAGATTCTGTAATTCTGAATATGCCAAAATAAATATATTGAATATAACTTCATAGTTCCTTCAGGAACCAAGAAAATATTTAAAGAGTATAATGCCAAAGGGTCATGATGATAGGCATCAGCTAAGGCTGCAAAGTAGACCTACTGAAGTGCTAGCAAATGAAATGTGAGAAAAAGAGATTCATATGTATGGTCTGAAAGTAGGAAATGTTTTAAAATTAAATTTATATATATATAAATATTGTATATAATACATATTCAAATTACTTCACATGTGTGTATGTATATATGAAGGATATGCCACAATCAATTTGGAATAAAATTGTAAAAGAAATTAATTTGAACCTTTCTTATTTTCAAAAGATACAATTATTATAAGCCCTTCCCTCTCCTCCCCAAACCAGACATTTTTTAAAAGGACTCCAAATTGGTT